ATATTTGATTACGAGCTTTTTGATTCCATCTATAGAAAAAGTATAATGGTAAATTAGCAAGTGTCAAAAAATTATTGTATGATATAGGATATTTATAAGTATTTTTCACGTAAAAATACAAAGACCCTGGGACGGCAGCAAGTCTCTCGGCAAGTTGTACAAATTTAATGTGAAGAAGTACTACAAGAGACCACTAGATGTCGAGCAACCCGAATCACCACTCCCATAAGAAAATAAGTAAAGTTTATTGAATAAGTATTCTATAAATGTTCGCTCGATACACGTCTCATATATACCGAAGTTCCCATTACTTATGATCGACCGTCCTCAACTGTTTCGACGATCTGGAAAAATCGTGAGAGTATAATAAAATCAAGTATTTCTAATTTTCATTTAAAACAAAAATCAGTAAAGCAGGTACAAACTAAAATTTTGAGTTTCATGAACAAAATTTATCTGCAATTTTTATAACTAATACAATTAATTTATTTTATTATCTATGATATTATTATATTATTATTATTCATACCAATATAAATAAATAATCAATACATATAATAATCTCATCTTATCTGATAAAAAAATGAAACTGTTAAATAACAAAAAAATTATTGTAATTAATGCTCATGTCGGCTATGACGAGGACCGGATATAACGAGAACTTTTCGATGATCCCGTGAATCTCGTTATAAACCGGCCTCCACTGTAGTTATTTTTCAATAGCAAATAGAATTCGTAGGACGAGCCACTCTATAATTCATGCTTTCCTAATTTGAATTAAATGCACTTGGAAATTCAGATAGTTTCTGAATTAACTGCATGCGCACGACGAGGACGCGAAAACATAATTTTCGCAAAAAGTACCCACGCGTACATTCTCACGGGTGGAAAAAGCGCCGACGTTTTCTTTGGCCACTCTTATACGCTCGAAAGTGCCGTACACATTATTCCTTTTGATCTTATGTATATATTTTCACGCTCGTGGATACTCGCTTCGCCTGCTGAACTCTTGCACCCAGACTCGTTCGTGCAGCCATTGTGGGTATGCGTGTGTCGGTGTCGCGACGCACGAGCACGTCAAGCTCCTAGATTATACACGCACACGAGTCGACGTAATAACCGAATGAGCTTCGGTCTACATAAATGCCTGGAGCCAATAAATAGCTAATTATAGAAGCTACCGTCGTGTGTGTGTATATATATGTAGTCGAGTGATCGCACGTCGGAGCTTACTAACGTATCGATTGGTTTATTTATCCGCGAGATGCGCGCAATAAAACTGGCAGCTCACACGGACACACTCGCGTGCACACATTATATGCATGCTGCTCCCTCGCAGTTCTCGAGGTCGTGGGGCATGCCCACACATATATTACACGGAATTTACACGTCGTATGCCATCTCTCTCTCTCTCTCTCACGCACACGCCCGCGCATATGCACAAAGATACGTTTAATTTTAAAATATTTCAAATCGAGTCAAGTTTGACGGTGCTCTGTCAATTGGACATAACTCAATAATGAGCTCCATGAATGTTTTATTCACATTAGCCAACGAGTTAATTAATCTACATGTTTCAGTATTTGCTCATGCTTTATTCTTTTGCCCCGATGATCCTTAACGGCAGTCTCTAACGACCTTTTCTCTGCGGTACCTATATACATCAAGATCCTCCCGACGAAGACGAATAGCTCAGAAACAAATGATTATGTCTCGTCGTCATTCTTTTTTCTCGTCTTCCGTAATATACCCTATCAAGAGACAATTTCGTGGTTTGGGCAAATTTTTCGGTTGAAGCAAAAAAAACCTCGGAAGCTCTTACGCTTGATTTCCAACGTATAAATTGACCCTCAGTCATCAAATCTTCATTTTCAGATAGCTATATTTTATTTATCATCGTCGAATCATTTACACTGTATCATTTCATCGTGCATGAATATGTGCTTCCTTTGAATCTATCTGACCTGTATTCATGGAGCGCGGACTTGAACACGTATAATGACTCATTTTAGGATGATATTCCTGTACAGTATATGGGCGCGACGTGTCTGTGTATGTACAAGGAATATCTGTAGCTCTCGAATTTCAATAGTATCGAGTGACCGAAGATAATACATTTGCTAGCTCTCTAATACTATTTCCCATTCAAACTGGTCATTGTGAATATGTCTGACCAATTCTTTGTGAAATCGAATTTCTCAAAAATTGTTACTCGGTTTTTATTTTCATGAAAAAAATATTCATTTAAATAAAAAATGTGTAAAAAAGTTGAAATAACATATGGTAACAAAAAATAGCTTTTTTCGAACCAAAACAACGATGTTTTTTTATACGTGTGAACTTCTTGTGGCTCTCAGACTCTCAAACAAGACTATTGAAAGATTATTTTAAAAAATGAAGGTACTTTTGACAATGCCAGGAAGTTTTCTAAATGTATTGGCCAAGAAAGTCAATATCGAACCTGTATTTAAAGTTTAATGTTTCTTTCTATATTAACAAGCCTTATCAATGGTGCAAATACTGGGTATAGTTTAAGATAATTTTGACCAGGGGCATGATGTAGAAAAATTCGGGGTCTACCGCAATTCCTTAGATATTTAATCTAATTCTAATCTGTTTGAACTATATCATGGTTTTTACAAAAAAAATCATTCATTTCATACAAATCCCTTCATACGAAAAAAACATTCGTAAAAAACTCAGAAATAATTTTCCTTCTCGCAATATTCATCGTAATCATAGGTATTATATTTGATTAAAAGTTTTATGATTTTATCAACAGATGGAGCATTTAAAATTCGCAAGTGGCAAAATAATTTTCATAGGATATAAACCCGTCTTCGAAATTTTTTTCAGAAACTATTAATTTCAATGAAAACGAATCATATAGAGAATAGTTACGGTTAATCCTATTTCATGAAGAATTTGTCATATAACACACAACAAATATTATCTATTTATTATACCATCATACTATATTGACTGAATCATCAGAAACACGTATAAGTTTGTACACGTGTATTTATTTATGTGAGGTATTATTAGGTTCTTGATTAACATCGCAAAAATTGATGAGTCTCGTTTGGGATCAGACCAAGTGGAAAAAACGAGTAAACGTCCGATGCAGACTATACAAGATCGATGTTCGCTCAGTTCTGCTCGACAATAAAGTATTTATTGTGGCAGATTTTTTGATAAATAATTGTCTGACTGAAAGAAATAATTAAGTCAAAGGAGGGCAGAGCTGAGGAAAATTTTCTTTGCTCTATTATGAGCGAACCTATGTGAAGTTGAAAATGCGCCAAAAACTAGCCACGATTTATCTCAAAAAATTTTCCTCTTCTAATGGCCTTTCCAGTTTTCTGCCGCTTCGAATTATTTATATACGTCATAGAACTTTAAAGTAGAGTCGTTTTTAAGACCTTCCCGGACAATTAAGCACTTTAAAATGATTTATATAGTTCGAAGAAGTTAAATTTTACGTTGAAATTATTTCAACTAATTGTCTATTTTAATGTCCCGAAACGATTTGATCGATTGATTATACTGGATAAATTTCATGCGCATGATATAATAAAACTTGAGTTGAATTTAATAACACTATCATTCAAAGAATATATTTGAATATATATATATCTGACCGAAAAATTCAGTAAGCCAGAAAATTGACTAACCTTGGAGCCATTATCACCTAAATTCTATGCAAATTGTCAGCAATTTTCACATTTATCATTCGAGTTTAAACTACACTCGGTATACAAATTGGATTTCCTTTTCAATCAAAATTGCCGTGCATTTACGAGTTTTTTTTCTGCAGTTTAGATTGATCGAACGAGGAAAATTTTTCGATTAAAAGTAAAGGCGCGCACACACGTGTGTGCAGAGCAAAAAAGAAATCGTGCGAATCTTTTAGATAAAAAGTTGTTTGAGATAAAAACACCTTTCATTATTACATCGTCAAAAAAAAGTAGTGGCTCAGGAAAGCTTTTCAAACTCTAACCATCCTTGCACGTGCTCGAAGGTCTATGCCGTTGAAGTATTCTTTCGGAAAGCTTTGTTAGAGCTCGGGCCGAGGAGAGGAGGGAGAGAGAGAGAGAGAGAGAGAGAGAAATACAGCAATGACAGAAATTGAGAGAAGAGCTTTCATAAATCGTATTTATCCCAAAAATATTGCTCGGTTTTATTGGCTTGAATTTATTATGAATCTCGGGTTATAAATCAAATTTTCGTACGTAGTTCAAATTCTACGACAATAAATCAGAATATTAAAATATACTAAACAAACGGATAAAAATATGTATAGCAAAGAATGGCTATACCAAAAATATACACACAGACTGCACATATTGCCAGTGCGAAAGAAAGGAAACGCATTGGAGCGCGCGACGTCGAGATAAATTGCGATATCGTAGAAAATGCTAATTGCCCTCTTGGACACTATTTATTTTGCCATTTAAAATACGGGATGTTGTTTTTGAGCTACATTACCAAGTTACGCGCCGTCGTTGTTTATATTCAGTATTTTTATTTACTTACCTATACAGCCTGTTATATTGCCATCTATAAACTTTGCCATGTATTCATGGCAAGCTCGAGCTGTGTTCTCTGCACAAATGATGCATGGGCCTTGGAAGATTGATCGTCCAGGTGCATCGTTCAGTCATTAAAGTGTAATTTTTCAACAAGTTTAATATTGAATTAGCATTTTCATGAATTTATCACATTATAAAGTCGATCATGCTCTCGTCTGCATATAATATGATTCCGATCATCTGTGTGAGTTCAAGAAGCTCGTTTATCCGGAGTATCTCTATTAATCTATTAATTAGCGAACTCGAATTTTCCGTTATTATGAGTAAAGTGTACGTCAAGACAGAAAGTTCGCGCGCTCCCATGGAAAGCTCTTGCAAGCTCGACGAACCATTATACAATATAAACATATATTTTCACATTTAACTGGATGAATAACTGACGGCGAACATCGCTCGTTTGTTTTGCAGAATAAAGCGAGGGAAAGCCAAAGCGGGCCCACAAAAGAGACTACCCTACCTGTCTGAGCTTCCACGGCAACAGCAGTAGCGGCAGCGGCAACCAGCTACGCTCAGAAATGGCTCGCCAATGGGAGAAGCTCTCGCCGGCCGAATTCCAGCAGCTTCAGGATTTGGCAGCCTGTAAGTGTGCATATACACGAATAAAAGCTCGCTCACTCGTTCTCTCTCACGCGCTATAGCGAGGCAGCTATAGCTTTCCGAGCAAGTGCCAAAAGCTTTTGTTATCACTAATTTGATTGCACGCCGTGTGCCTCGACAACGAGTCCCGACCCACCTGCTCCTTCGTCGACTCTCGAGCCTTAATTAACGAATCGCAAGCGGCGCGTCGCACGGCTATATTGTAACTGTGGTAAGAGCTACCATGATTGTTTCAGATGAAAAGTGAGCGTCGGATAAACGAGGCGAATTTTCACTTGTCACTTTTTTGCACGCGACCGATTTAAGGATTTTCGGCGATGATGTGAGTTTAAGGAAAATATTTATGCCTCTAATGGCCGAGTAAACGCGAACGGGCGCGTAACGTGTTTTTGCTTCAAAGTTTACAGACGATTTTTAATGGCTGATGTGACTATATCAAGAAACATCATCGTAGCACGAAGCCGTTCAAGTTTTAATAAGCCCAAATCAGCCATCGAAAAGTTTTTATCTTGAAATGTTTTCCCATTCAAACTTACAATAGCTTATGTGAGTATACGAAAGAAAGTAAACGTTTCGATTTCTCGAGGTCGCGGTCGAGACATCGAATGTTTTTTTTTTCTTTTTTTATATCATCGTCGAGCGCGAAAGAAGCGTGCATAATAATTTCTCGCAATTTGACGCATCACAAAGCAGGTGCTATACTAGGCGCGCACCTCTCGCGTATAGCTGCCTGCCTGACGTCGTCGGTCGGGTCGACTGTAAACACGTTTTACTACTGGCGCCACGCCGTCTTTATACGGCTTGTGCGCCGTTTGTTTCGCTCTTCTCTGTATATGCCGACGAGACGACAGCAACATATAGCTCCACGCACGAACATTACTTTCGCGTTTTATAAGTGGCGTAAGAAGCTGCAGTTTTCTTTTCATTCTTATTTCTTTCATCGTTGGTACTGCTTCAGAATCGAGATCGTGGGAAAAAATTATGATTCGAGCGACGAGGCTGAGTTGCCAATTGAATGAGATACAAAAGTTGCTGTCGATGCTGAAATCACAGTTTAAGCTTTTATAGGCATAAGTTTAATTTCTATATTAGGGATTCAACGATAACCCCAGCCACAATCCCTAGCGGTAGCCTCCGAAATAGAGGATATTAGTAGTTTTTAAAAAGTAGCATGGAATTATGTATCATTTTGATCAAATAGGATTATTACAATTTGCTATCTCAGGGTCCACAGTAAAGTGAATCGAATGATGATTTTCGAAAATAGTGCTTTGACTTATACAATTATTTTTACTTTGTTACTTGTAGATTTACAGAATTAAGGTTCTTGCCATCTAGTGGCGAAGGCTGAGAGTGATATTGTCGCATTTAAAGTGGTTGAAAATTGGTCTTTAAATTTTGTAAATAGTTAAATTATCATTTCAGGTAATTTAAAATGGACTTAATGTTTCTAAGATAATTGTAACAGGAAAATCACAAAAAACAAACTAATCAATAGTAAGGTAATTTAAAGTATTTTGAATCGCCAATTTTCCAACTATAGGCTATTATGAATGTTGAGCATTTCTTAATATTAACGGCATCTTATTGTAAAAATGTCGGATATTTTGTTAATTGCTCTCTTTCCTTTACGGAAGATTTATTAGGTACCTTGACAAATTAGGCATTAAATTTCACAATTTAATTCAGCCTATAGTGCGAGTCAATAAGCTAATTCCCGGCATTTCAGATCTATCTTTCCATCTCGCGCCGAAGAAAACATCCTTAAAAAGACCTCCGTAATTGATACATTTTTCAGAAAGTTACGTAAATTTTAGGACGATGGAATTCGTGTATACGGGCTTGAAAAACATCTATTTTAAAGCTGCAGGCAAGTTTTTCCAAGGCGCGCGCAAGCGCGCACAGGGGAAAAAAGGGGCAAAAATAAAAAAAGTTGAAGAGTAGTTTTACTCTCCAGGGAGGAGCTATGCATATAAGAGGATTGAAATAGAAAACACGTATATCTAACCACGAAATACCTCATAATGTACGCTCTTATGACTTTGTTTCGCGCTTGGCTTTATTTTTCATGCCGTCGCTCGCGCTACATGCATGAATAAAATATGTTAATAATTCCATCTTATCTTGCATAATTCAACGATTCGTGTATTTTACGCTCTTTTTCGCATAAATCGAGACACAGCGCGTGCACAATTTTCGAAATTTAAATTCTAAACGGGATGATCGACGATCTCGAAGGGACCCGAGCGAAAGAATTTTGTGAAACGATGAAAAATTACGGATCGTTACGGCAAATTAAAAGGACGCGAGCGCGACACTTTTCGAAGCGTGCGGCATTCTCAGCTTTTTACCAGGGCCGAGTATTGTTCGCTGGATAGTATATTGTCCGAGTGCGTGCGTGGCGTGCTTCGCGCCGAAGCTGTGCACTGCAGCTCCGATGTATTGTTTTTTCGGCGACCGAAGCTTTCTTCCATCGGGCGTTAATTTACGAGTGTTTTTCGAAAGCGTGAAACTACACTCACCAGAGGCTGGCATTTGAAGATTCCATTCGTTCCACGGGATTTAATTAAAAAAAAAAAAAAAAACTCGACGATGCGTGCTTTTTTATAACTACGCATTTTCTATTTTGAAAATTAAAATTGTTTTCCGACGAATATCGGGTGACAACTGAAGCCGAACAAATACAACAATCTGTTCACGAAGGACGAAAAAACGAGTTTGAAAGAAACGAAGGATCAATTCATTAGGGATATCAAACTTATGGCTTCATTTGCGTCTGCATATAAAAGTTTTACCTGCGTCATTTGGCTGCTCATCTCGGAGAAAAAAAAACTCCAATTATAATAAGCGAACGTTCTAAATGCATTATAGAGTCTTCCTCGACCCGAGGAAGACTAGAGCAAAAATAATTAATTAAGAAACACTTTAATTGAAAGTTACACCTCATCGAGCGCACTCAATACCGTACAAAGTTAAACTTTAAATTGTATAACACAATGGACAAGACTACAATCTATGTTTTTGTTCTCAATTTGCGCAGATTCGTCGAGGAAGCTGCAGGACGTGCTGCTGGAGTTCTGCGCCGCCACGACACCGGGCGATGTTCCGAAATACCAGCCCGATGGGGTGAGTATCTCTCTCTCTCTATGTCGTCGATCGCGTGCGTGTAGGGTGACCCTGTAACTATAGTAGAACAAAAAAGGCACGAGATCACACGAAAGATAAGAAAAAGCACGCGGAGCCGAGTTCTCTGCACAAGTGCGCGCCCGATGCCAGTTTGTCGTCGTCGCATCCAATGGAAATGGCGTACAGGATTGTGCAAAAAATAGCCTCGAGAATCGCAGCAGCTGCTGTTGCTGCTGTGCTGCAGCTTATGGCTTATTGGCTCGCTTGCACACACACGATCCGTCGCGCGAGCTCGGAGCGAAGTCTGTCAACGTCCCCTTTTACACGTCGGAGTAACTTATTCATGACAGTGTGTACATGGCGTATCCCGGCGCGAAACAAGAAGTAGAAAGTTTTACTTGTTTTCAAGTTAGCGAGCACGAGTACGTACGTATGTATGTACGAACGTTACATATACAGCCGAGATAGCGAGGCGCTGCGTGTAGATACGTAACATTATTCGCTTACGTAGAAATCAAGGCACGACGACGCCGCCCACGCGGGAGACTCACTTTTTATTTCGAGTTAACTAGGCTGTATTGTAATTTTACTTATAGATATGCGCGTGAGATACGGCTTCCGAATTAATAATCTTCTCGACGAAAGGGAAATACGGCGAATCGTTCGCGACGGCTTTGGATTATATTACGCGGCACGATACACGTACATATTTATGAACGCGAGCAGCGTACAACGCGCGACCAGCCAACCGATTCAATGGACGCGCGCGTGCATGTGTCATTATTGTATATATATAATTCAAAACCGATAACTCGGCTATCTGCAAAAACCTGGCGTTTCGTTTCATAATTGAATCTCTCATCAAATACGAATGCCTCGCGTACTGCATTTGAGTATATAAGCTCGCGAGGCCGATTGACGTGGACGGGAGAAATCGAGCGATCGAAAAAAATTACATTTTTCGTTCATACAGATACGTATGCAGAGATGTATTTTTAAACCTTACCTGCAGCAAAGGTAAATTTTAATAATGTAAAGATCGAGTGACTGATGACTATTTTTGCTAGCTTTCTACCGGCTCCGACGGTAATCTAGACAGCCTTGCGGTTTTTTTCTTGCTCTCTCTCTTTTTTTTTAAGCCAAGAGGCAAACTACAAAAGTACAAGTATACATCGTTAGCCTCTTTCGCATTATATACATGTATACGTAAAGCTTTTATGCAGCCAGCGGTCGATTGTCCGCGTAAGGAAGCTTTCTTTCTTATGTCAGAGTGAGAGCAACCTTAATGTTTTTCTTAGCTCCCTCCCTCCTTCTCTCTCCCTCTTCCCCCTTTTTTTTCCTCTCTCCATCTGAGTTTTTTTTCCGTTTGTCTTTGTTGTAACTCTTGCCCGTTTCCTAGGCTATATAAGAGGGCAGCAGCAGCAGCAGCAAAAAACGCAGATAAAAATTGAGCTTTTCTCTCTTAGCCTGAACAACAAAAGTACGATTTTACAGAATATATACACGATTAAGTATAAAAAAAAGAATTAATGGGCGGCAATCGTGAAGCGCAAGAACTCGGTCTTGCGGGGTAAAGCGCCTTACGTTCCACACACACATATGTCGGAATCCATGAAAAATCAGTAGTTGACGGACAAATATTCTCCCTTTTTTTTGTCTCTTTCAATTCTACTAAAACTAACTTATGTCACTGTATTTTAGTTTTGAAATAAGTATTTTCAACATGAAATTAATTACCATTACCATGGTTACATCACCTGCACAAAAACATGAAAGATATACAGTTAAAAAAATAAGTTTAAAGCATATCTAATGCAATAAAATCAGACATTAAAATTAATATAACCATACATACGGGATTTCATGTTAAGTAAAAAAAAATCCATGAAAATTCACTTGTAATTGATTTCAGCAACCACCACTAGGTGGCGAGTAGATTCATCTGTACATCTGCAAGAGGCAAAGTTAAAGGAATTGTATAAGTCGGGAAGTTTGATAATAAATAAATGTTATAAGTACATTGATGCTTTGATAAATAGTCATATTCTATTTTTGATACTTATTTTTACCGCTAGATGGCGAGTTACCTATATCTGTAAATCTGCAAGTGGCAAAGTAAAAATATGTATATATAGTCAAAGCAAGGTTTTAAAAATACAATCTATGCGCCAAATTAATGTGGAGCTTGAGAAATTTTTAAACCTCAAAGCAGCGTTGTAGAATTCTATACTGTTGTAGGCAACAAATCCGTCGAAATTAGATTTATTTCTAAACAGTATTATTTAACACGAAAACCCCTTAAAATCTCGTTAACTTCAAATACTTTTACACGATTTTAAATTCGTCTACGAGAAGGGAAAAGACTTCTTCCACTCTTACATGAATATTAATGTACATATTTTTAACAATGTACTTACTTGAGATTCCTAAGGGCATTGGTCTAATTAATTTTAGTGGCATTTAAAAAAAATTTCCTGCTAACAAGTAGTTTTTCGTGGACTTCGACGTATATGCTTTTCGCATAGCAGAAACTGTACTGGCTGCTCTCATACGCATGATGGCTCGGTTATTACCTTAATACGTCTAAGAGTTTTCTTTTTCACTGTACTCGGCGCATATGTGGGAAAAAGTTTTTCCGCGCGACAAACGGCTCCCTTCCCCTTGGAAAATGCGATTTACGCACGCCCAAGGACTCGAGATTTTATTAGCAATCATTTTATACGTGACTTACGCTGGAGCTCGTTTTTTGTTACTGCCGCATGCGCTACAAAGCTAAGTTGGACTTTGGCGCTGCATGGCTCAGAGCAAAAACTTTAGATTGTTGTAATTATATAATAAATGTATATAATATGCAGACACAAATTGCGAAGCATAAAGTTCAAGCGAGATAATTACTCGCCTGTGTATCACGAAACACGAAATAAAAATGTAACAATACCAATGAAACTCTTTATCAAAGCTCCATTTAAGCTTGTAAAATGGCTTCGTACGTACATATGAATATAATGTGAAATGTATAATTAATTATTATGCCGACATAATTTAGTTCTCGGAAAATAAAGTGCACGAAATATCATGGCAGTATTTTCGCGAAATCAAATATACTATGCAAAAAAAGAAGGTAAAAAAAAAGGAAGGACCGAGTCAAAGACGTGCGGCTGCTCGGACGATCAAAGGATTTTTTTTCATTCGAACCGTGTGGCAGAGAAAAAAAGGATATAAACAATTGGACGTATAGTTTACCACACGGCCGCCGCCGCATACGGAACAGACGCGAAAGAAAACGAGAAAAGGGCGGACAGCGGCGCTTAGCAGCTATGTAGGAGTGCAGATAAATATTTGCCTTGCGTCCTGTTCTATATATACGGCCCGCGCCCATTTCTTTTTGCCTCTGTGCGAGTATCAAAATTCGTTTCTATTCACTTTGGGCCGTGCCTACTCGTGCACGGAAACAATATGAGTGTGTGCAGTGTGTGTGTGTGGCAGTCGAGTTTCTGCGCGCCGAGCTCGAGATTGAATTTTCCAACGCTTATACACAGAGACAGCCGAGAACGATGCAGGTAGGAGGAAACTTTCTCAGCTCCGAGCGCTCAAATGAATTCCGTTGATTTCGTATGATTTCGTTTAATGCAATCATAAGGAGCGAGAAATTTTCTGGTTAATAATAATCAAAATTGCATTACAAGGAATATCATAACAGAAGCGGCGAGACCGTATGACTTTTGCAATTTCGCATATAGGTTTGCGTAGGGAATTGAATCCAATGCAAAAATTTTGCCGAGGAGCTTTATACGACGGCCCAGCTGAATAGAGACGTTTGGCCGGGATCACGTCTCGAATATGCCATTTGCGCGCGCAAAAGTAGAGCGTCGACGCTCATATTGCCTAGCTGGCGTGTTATTGTTCCATGAGCTTTTGTATTTTTAGCCAAGCGTGTCTCGAAATATATACTCTGCGGCTCTTGCGCCGAACTCGCAGCGATTAAACAATTCATACGCGCGTGTATCGTTAAAAATCAAAGGAAAGCGATAAATCCGTCGGGCTATGGAGTCGAAGTCGAAGCGCAGTGCAGGGATATTAATAATCACCTCGGCTGCTGTTACTGCTGCTCACAGGCAGTGGCACAGTCGTCGGTCGTCGTCGTCGTATTCGTGTGCAGGATCGTCGCGCATAGCCGAGCACAAGAGCCGAGCCGAGCCGAGAGAAAGACAGTCCCCAGGAGACATTAAATGGCGATCATCTTCCCGATGGAATCGATTTCTTTTCTGGCCTCGCCAGCTATATAGCTTGGTGTGTGCAGCGGCTCACGTGCAGCTCGCAGATATACGTATAACTCAGGCCGAGAAACTGCCATCTGGGAAATTCTCCCCGGCGCACTATATACTATATGCACGAGCTACGAGCGAGGGCGTGTGTACGAGCTATACCACGTTGTACATTGTGCCCGCTCTTCGCGTGTGCAGCAGTCCAACCCGCAGCTCTGCGCTCGAAATCTTATAAAATCGCGCGTAGCAGTGTGTAGTATAGCAGTAGCTGGACGAATCACGCGCGTATTATATATATACGAACTTATCGCGGCTCGTAAAAATCACGCGCACTTTTATACACCGCTTTATAACATCGTCGTCGCGAGAAAGCGAGAGAGAGAGAGAGAGAGAGCGACACAAAGCCGTGGCGTGACGAGCTTTTTGATTAAGAATAGCTGCCGCCGCTACTGCCACCGATACCGCGTACGCTGCCGTATACACGCATAATCGCATAAAAAAGCATTTGACGTCATACTGATTTCCTCGCGCTTCCAGCATTGCGAATTGAATTTTCTCGCTCCTGGAGTAAGTAGCACCGATGGCTTCGAGGCTTGTATACAATTCTTAGTAGTATCCTTAGCCGTGTTTCCCGGGACCTCGATCAGATTCTGTATATCGTGGATCGCGTACACACTGCTGCAACGTAATTTCCGCGAATGAGGATGATACTCGAGCCACTGCTGCAATTCTGCC